GCCTTTGCTCAAAAGGTCTCGAAACAATAGCATGAAATGAACCCATCTTTGAATTCAATTCTTTGATTCTAAATCCCTGTTCTGATATTCTTTGTGTGAGCATATTCTCAAGAATTTTTCTCTCTACTTTCTCTCTCTACAGTCATACATAAGCAACAGTGCAAAAGTGGTGTTTTTAAACCAAAGGCCACAAACAAGGAATTGCAGAGGCTCCGGCAACATCTGCAGCACCTGTGACAGGAGCCTGCAAGACCCATATCTCTTTTGCTCCCTTTACTGCAAGGTTTGCTCGTGCCCATAGCCAAAACAAATTTCAATTCTTCTGCTTTCTCTCTCATTTCTCACTCTTTCTCAATTTTCCCAAATACCCTTTTCAATTCTCCACCTCGTCTCACTTGGGTCTCTTCCATTTTTGTTTCTCTGCAGATTGATTACGTTCTTAGAACAGAAGGTGGCCTGTCCAAGTACCTTCTAGAGTGCAAATTCATGTCCTTACCCGAATCCGGTTTAGACGACGGTCAGATGACTCCTGACTCGGTTCTTGAACCGGCCGGTTCAACCCGAACCTCGTCCGGGTCATGCGGGTTCGGTGAGGTGGGGTGTCTGGCCCTAGCCTGTACTGCCACGACCGAGATTGTGAGGAAAAAGAGGAGTAGCATGTCAACGTATCGGACAGCTTGTCGGCCGGTTTTTTCGCCAGTCTCCGAAATTTCGGCCGGGTTGATGAACCGGCGAAAGGGGACGCCACATCGGGCTCCGCTGTATTGAATATTGTGCATGGATGGATTTAGTGATAATATTTTTAGTAAGTAAAATTAAATGCAGAGGGATTTTAGGGGTTATGAATTTGTAAAAGTTGGTGATTTTCATACTTTTTGTCTTTGGAGAGAGTCTTCCGCACGACCGTCACCAATTTAATTATTAAGATGACACTTCAAATCGTATTTAGTGGGATCTAATTATTGTTATGGTTCCATTAAATTAGGTGTCGTTTATTTTGTTGTTGAAGATTTTCCTCAACTTGTAAGGGGATGAGACTCGAGAGCATGTACCTTTGTACTCGAGGTCCTATGTATTGATCTCCTAATATCGCTTGTATTAAAGAAAAAGAAAGATTTTCCTACTCTTCTTGCTGCGAAAGAAAAATATGTACCAATTTTGTAGAGGGGCGTTTGCTCTGTGCTGTTGTATTGAGTAGGTCGGTTGGCTGAATTTAAATGGTTCAATTGTCTAGTTTTCTTCCTACAGAGTAATGGAGAGTAATGATGAACAGTTACAGAGAGTAATGGTGAACACTGACAAATAGTTGGAAAAAGTTCAGCATCAGTTAATTCCTAACTCAGTGTCATTTCCTCCCATTTTGGGGGACTCAATTTGAATTTAAGCTTCTTAAATTCAGCGACAGGAAGTAGAAAACTCTTGGTGTTGGACTTGTGCAAATACCTGCCGGAAATGAAAGATCACGTGTGATTAAATGCTTCCTTTGAATTTTTTTCTTTTTGGGTTGATTGATTATGAATTTTGATATTTCCTTCCAAAAGAATTTAGGGGAGTTATGAATGGCTGAAGTTAGAAATAGGGAAGAGTAAAAATAGCTATGAGATCAAGTACCTAATCAATCTAATTTCTGTTTTTTTTTTCAGATATTGAATTACGAATTGTAATACATAATTCACATAATATTTAATTATGTATGTGCTAGTTAACGTACGAGAAGTCAAACATTTCTAATATCTACTGTATTAGTTTACATCATTCCAAGTAAGTAAACATATCACTCTCCCTTTATTCCAGTATGATAACAACTTAAACTAAAATTTTAACGTGGTTCGGTTCGGTAATATTCATCATGCATTTACATTCATAATAAGAGAAAATAAGCTTGTACAAGATTACCATTGCATGGTTAGGTTACACAAATTGAAGCCATATATCAGAAATTGCACAGCCTCTCTTAAAAAGGGCATTGAATGGCCAGTATACATGATATGAGCAAGCAAGTAGCCCTTGAGATGGCTTTGAGTAGCTATGGAAGAAGCTATATGGGGCTAGAGCAAAATGGTTGCAGGATCGAGAATGCATCTAATAATTTATACATGTGTTCTTGTAGTTGTAGACTAGTTGGTATGCCCCTAGGTCGAGCCTACCAAATTTTGTTGCTTCTTTTTGTTTGAATTTGATTTAAAATCATAGATTGTGGAATTTTTTTTATATTGTTAATTGTTAATATGGCATCAAATCTTCCCAGTTCTTGAAAACCGGGCCCGGTTCGACATGCAAGGCTAATTTCCGTTTGTTATGACATTTCCTCATCTAATTTTGGCCACAAACTTAAGTTACGTCAACCAAAGCAAATTATGCTACTAAGAAAATTAAAAAACATTTTCATATTTTGTCTTTTTACAAAACATATGACTATGAGCCTTTGATATTTATAAGTTTTATGGTATTGTGTGAGAGTTAGTTCTGGCTTTTTAGCATGAATTGCAAATTCATGATTTATGAGAATAATTTTCATGTAACGAGGATGTCATATAAGAGTATAATAAATCAATCGCGTATTATAATGTGAGAAAGTTAAAATACGTGATAATGCATGATTGACTTAAAAGATACTATCAGAGTGACATCCCGATGTAAATAAGTTTCTCTCCATCTTATGTGGGCGTGATTATTTGAAAGTATTATGGTCTCATTCAAAACATTGGTCAAAGTTCTAAATTAAAAATAGTTATTTTTAATAAACAGTCGTATAAAGTGGGCGATTTCATCTTTCCTTATAAAGAAACTATAGATAACACCACCCCATCAAGTATTTGATGGAGATCCCAGACCTGCAAGGCCCGTGGTCTCTTCTTTTCTGTTTCTTCATCCCCTTTATGTTTTCTTCCAATGACAAAGTAGTGACAAAAAATGTAACAAAAAAAAGTAAGCGACAATTTTCAAAACCCATCCTAATCAATTGTTTACTCATTTAGATCTCCATCCCCAATGCCTCTTAACTTGAGATGAGAAACTATTTCTTTTGGGAACCATGCATGGAGATGGAGGATCCTTAATATATTACATGCATCCATGAACTGGCACAATATTTAGAGGTAGGCTTCATCTGTGTTTCCATATGTCTGAAAATAAAAGCCTCCCTCCCTCCTCTCCAAGACTCTACAGTCTATATAGTGACAGGCTTCTTGACCTAGCACTAGCTTTTATCAAGGTTTTGTGTGACTTGTAGCACGTGACAATTAACATATTGAATTCTTGTGCTATAGGGATATGTACATGTCAAATTGTTTGTACCGGTACATCTAGGTCGAGTGATTTCAATCCTATTAGGGCAAAATATAACATGGATTGGTTATCTAATCCTATTAGGGCAAAATATAAGAGATTTTCTATTTAAACCCCACACTTCTCTTAGTTCACCCCATGTTCTAAGTTCACCCCAACTTTTAATTTAAATTTTCACAATTTCTAAGAAAACCCCATTATCTTCCTAAACTACCCTTAAATACACCCCAAACTGAAAAAATAAGAACTAAAAGAGATTTTCTATTTAAACCCCGCAATTTTATTTGTTCCCAGCCAAAAAAAACACAAACAAATGAAACCCCAAATCCGAAATTTAATACTTTCTAGAGAAAGAGAACAGCTTTACCTCTCTCCAAGAACTGTAACTGAAATTCTAACACTTCGGTCTTCTTGAGAACTTGAGAGAGAGAGAGAGAGAGAGAGAGATTGTAAACAGGAAGTTGGAATGAGGTTTCTAAAACTTAATATGAAGAGTGGTGGGGTGTATGGAGTGTGTGTATAAATGTACTAGGGTTAATTATTAAGTTGGATGACCTTTTTTGTCTTTTTACACAATAAAATAACTTACAGCTAAATGATTTAAGTATTGGGGTGAACAAAGAGAAGTGCGGGGTTTAAATAGAAAATCTCAAATATAATAGGGTTATGAATCCTACCAAAATGTTGAGATTAAGTTAGATTTGGAGTATGTCTAATCCTACTATAAAATTTTTTAATATAAAAAACTTTTAATTAACTATATTATTCTTATTTAATGAAAAGTTTCATTTCTTAATAAATTCATTAACCAAAGGTAATTTCTGGTATTTTGAATATTTCATCGTTCTCTACCTCTTGTCTTTTTTTGATTGAGAAATTATAGGATTGCATTCTCTACCTCTAGTTTATATATAATAGATATAAATAGCTGGATAACTGAAATTCATAATTCTAATTGAATGTTTTCTTTAAATTAATTTAAAGCTTTTATTTTTTTTTCTTCAAATTAGCGATAGATACATTGCATTGGAGAGGGGGACACTTTTCCTGGTATTCGAACGGGTGCCAAGAGGGGAAGGGAGAGGCACCTCACCACTGATGTAAACCCCTCGGTCAAATTAATTTAAAGCTTGCCAATTCAATAATTTTACAAAAAAGGAAAAAATATCGTATGTTTTCTTTTTTTACATGGACGTAGCTGGCTGCAATTTTTTTTTTTTTATTTTTTTTTTTTTTTTTTTTTTTTTTTTTGCAATGAGAAATGGCAAAGTTGGTGTAAATACGTTACTCTTTCTGTTTCACAAAATGCTACAATTTTCCAACATGCCATAAACACCCTTGTGAAATAAATTCATACTACCGTCAAACCATGTAAAGAGCTAGAAATTACATGGGCATTTTAGTCATACTGCATTTCATCGACGCTCACCAACATTAAAAACCTCTGAATCAGGCCATGAAAGAAAACATTAAAACCTTCAGACCAAAAAAAAAAAAAAAAGAAAACATTAAAACCAGAAAAGGATGGAACGAAAAAAGCAGAAATAAAATTAATTCCAGTACCTAACGTAACTGTCATTCACTTATTGAACATCACAGATAACTTTCTCACCGTTGGATTGAGATCAACTCAATTCAGATCCACGGTTGAAACTAGTCACCGTAAATTAAACCCTCGGTGAGTTTATCTCTCTCCATATTTTTTGAATCACGGAAACTGTTTCTTCTGCTATTTCTTCTTCCCGTCTCTCTTTTCTCCTTCTCGCTCGGATCATATATTTTCTCACAAACCCTAAATTTTTATTTCAATTTTTTGTTTGAAAAGATTTAGGAGATAAAAAAAAAGGGAATTAATTTAATTCGTGGTCATGAGTACTGGAGATCTTCTTAGCATTCAGCCCACAGAGCTCAAATTCCCATGTAAGTATGTTGCTTTCGTTTTTCTTTAAATTTAAATTTCCTTCGTTTGTATGTCAGATGGTTTTCCGTTTGGTTGGTGAGAAAATTAAAGAAAAATATCCATTTTGAATGCCATGTTGGGTATTACTGGACTTACGATGACACATTTTAATTCTGCAAATAAGTATGGGGCTGGGTAGAATTGGATTGAATTTCTTCTGTCAATTATGGTTCTAAACTTTGAATGCTTGCACTAACACGTTCTGTTTGAAAAGGAATTACCTTTCTTTCATTGCCTTTAAATTTTTGTAGTTAGGTACATTGTGAATTTGTGTGTGGTCTAGTATGATTAAATGGTATGGTAATTTTGATTTTGCCATTGGGAAAATTGTCCAAGTGTTTGATTTAATTTTTGGGTTCCTTTTTTTGTGGTGGAAAAGTTGAAGTGAAGAAGCAGAGCTCATGTTCCTTGCAATTGACCAACAAAACAGATAAATATGTGGCGTTCAAGGTAATTTTTTTGTTTTCCCATTACAATTGTTAATTGACTTGGTCTGAACATTTAAGCTATGGATTCATAATGCGTACTGTTTGGATGATGTGATTGAATAGGTTAAAACAACCAATCCAAAAAAATACTGCGTCCGGCCCAATGCCGGAATTGTTTTGCCCGGAACAACATGTGATGTTACAGGTGAATATTCAATCACTTTAAATAATAAATGGTTCATATTAATTTCTCAGTTATCACATATTTTTTCCCATTTTCAAGTTTTTGAAATCTGAATTTTCTTTCATGAGCTTAATGATGTCATAGTGTTCGCTGCTTTAGCTGATAATGTGTTTAATTGTTTTTCTCTATTTTCTTTAGGCTACAACTGGTTGCTTCCATTAGTTTTTTGCTTTTGTTTTTGGGAGAAAGCATTGATATAATTATTTAACCTATTATTTTGTTTATCTTAATGGTTTCCTGATTTAAAGTTGATTTTTGTAGTTACAATGCAAGCACAAAAGGAGGCACCCCCAGATATGCAGTGCAAGGACAAATTTCTCCTTCAAAGTGTTGTTGCACCAGATGGTGTAACTCCGAAAGACATAACGCCTGAAATGGTTGGATGATGCTGCCAGCAAATTTTCTTTTCAGTGTAGAGGTTCTGTTTTGGGGTTTATTTTTGTCGATTTGATTTTTGTGTTACCTTGTTTATAGTTCAACAAGGAGGATGGTAAAGTTGTGGGAGAGTTCAAATTGCGGGTAGTCTACTTTCCTGCGAATCCCCCATCACCTGTTCCTGAAGGATCTGACGAAGGCTCTTCTCCCAGGGCTTCAGTGCTTGATAATGGGAATCAAAACACTTCCTTGTTTGATGCTGTAAGGGTTTTTATTTTTATTTTTATTTTTTTTTAATGCAAGCTTTCAGGAAAGTTTGAAAATGAATTGAATCTGTGGAATAGTTATTCATTTTCATTTTATATGGAAAGCTCAGGTATCAAGATCTCTTGAGGAACCGAAAGAGAAGTCATCAGAGGTGAGACGTCCTTTCTATTCTCCTTAACAAATATACTTTCTTTTAAATTTCATAGGAATTTACCTTGGAGTTGACAGATCTAGTTTCATTTTCTTGCATTTAATCTTCGTGAATTCTGTAGAGTGCTTAAACTTTGAATATATGGTGAAGGGACAACTTTATCTTTTATAACGTTTTCTTTTTCTCTGTAGAAAGCATCTAGACTAACTAAGTATGTCATTGCTAAAAGGTATTCTCCAATAGTGCCTATTTGGAGGTTTCTTATCTTAGTGCTTGATTTGCTTCTAGAATGTTATAAACAAGCATAATGTACTAAGTTCATGAATGTATTGAATGATAGTAACCATAGGGGTCAGTACCAGTCATTAGAGATTGTTGATACCTAAGTTTTTAGTCATTTTATGTGGTTTCTACCACTTAGTTCTTAAGAGGCCTTTGGTGGTAGCTACAATTCCATAATATTTTAGGAACTTCTAGGTTGTTCGGACAGTAATTTTTTGACTTTCTTTCCCAGAAGGCATGCTTAGTTTTCTTTAGTGTAAAGTTCACTTTTGTTTAGGTGGAACCACTGTTATAAATTTCAATTTTTAGATTTATCATCAGCATGATGTGAAATTTTTTACTGACAGTGCATGAAACAAAAGAATTTTTCAAAATAATAGGAGGAAGGAAATAGAAGTATTGTGGGATAGAGTTCATTTTGGGGATTCTTTGTGGGCTGCAATTTCCTTGTAGTTTCAGGATATACCATTTTTCCTCATTCATGTGGATTGGAAGGTGGAGGTTTCTTGAACTCTCGTATGGTTAGCTTAGCTGTTTTATAATAATTGTACTTAGTTAATTAGGACCTTGTTTTCTGGTTTAGGGATCTTGTATGCAATCCAGTGGATAACTTGTGTCAATTATGTCTTGTACCTCCAATTACAGCCTATTATTAAAATCCGTGTTTCTCGTAAAAAAGGCATAGCACGTGGGCTGTTTATCGGTACAATTTAATTGCCACATAAGTTTTTAGTCCATGCCTGGCAGTTAACAAATTCCTTAACTTTCCCATTGTACTAATTAATTTTAATTTTTTATTTATAATTCTTTCAAACTTCTGTTTCTTATTTATTTTGCTATCCATTTTATCTTAATTATTGTTGTCTTTCCATTTGATGTGATCACTTGAGTTAGATTACCTTATTTTCAATATTGCAATTTCTTATGTACATCCATTCCTCAGGCATGGTCCATGATTTCCAAGTTGACTGAGGAGAAGACCTCTGCTTTGCAACAAAGTCAGAAACTACATCGTGAACTGGTATTGTTTATGATATATGCATTGTTGGTATTTGTCATTCTACTTTTGTGTTTCTGGTAAACATCATGCCAATCATACTTTCGATTATCGATTTAGGCTGCCAATAGCATTACCACCCTTTGAACTTGGTTAGCTGTCGATAGTTATAGCAGAAACAGAAGAAAAGAGAGAAAAAGTTTTGTTCTTTTGTTAATGGTTGTATTGTTTTATTCTTTGAATAGATGGGCGCTTGATGTATTTACTTTTTTCTATTTTTTTTTCTCTATTCCTTTTTGGCATAACGCAAATTTTCATTGATCAGGACCTGTTGAGAAAAGAACTAAGCAAAAACGGCGGGGGTGGATTTTCATTATTGTTTGTGGTGCTCTTTGGTCTTTTGGGCATCTTGGTTGGTTACTTCATCAGGAAAACATAGAAGCTGAAGTGAAGGCTGTTTGTCAATTAATTAGTTGGATTCCGGCATAATTCTGTGGTGCTCCACAATTTTCAACATTTTAGGGACTCTCTTACTCTTATTGTAAAAATTTAGTCTTTGATTAATTGACACTCTGTTTTGAGCAAATATTTTTTTTGTAACATAACCTATGTTATTGGACAGATGGGCTCAATGAACCCATGTAAACATAACATATGTTATTGGATTGGTTTAGCAGCATTAAGTCTTTTTCTCCAGTGCTTTTGAGTGTTTGGGTGTTCATTGGTTTGAATTATTTTAATTCTAGTGGAAATTAATTGACAAAATGATCTTATTGGCTGCCTTGGGCCATAAGTCTTGAGGTGTTTTGATAATCACGAATCAAAGTTATTTGTTTGGTACTTTTGACAGTCATAAGTCCTTAGGCAGATGCAAGTGTTGATGTAACATCAATAATACTATGATGCTATTATCAGAATAACCAAATCCATGCTCCCCAAGTCACCAAAAAAACCCTGCTGATAATGATTATCAATCAAATTACTAATGGTTCATAATCTTACTAATGGTTGAACAAAGTGGAGAATAAATGTCACTAGATGGACTAAACTGCGGATTTATAAGAGATTATTTATTAGAAATTGCGGCTAATCTTCCTTAACATGATACCTATGTTGCACTGATACATATATGTGTACAGTGATACGATACGATATGATACGCCGATACGGCAAATCTCTAAAAAGTAGGATACGGGTATGGCACCAATATGGCGATTAAAATAATATAAATATGAATATTATAAAAATATAAACATATAAATGTAAATATATATATATATGTAAAATCAGCATTTGGGCTTTTTCTAGTTCCTTATGTTTTTCTGGGCCATATATGACTTGTTTCAGTTCTTGCAAATGAATGCATCAGAATTAAAAAAGTATAAAACAATTTTTTTAACAAGGGTCACCAAACATGCAACTAAAACGGTGCGTATTGTGATTAGGGCACCCAACATCATCTTCTTCACTAGTTAGCCGCCTCTTCTTCGCACAGCAACTGTCTGCAACTGCAGATTAGCAGCAGCTGCAAGCGCAAGTAAGTTCTTTTCTTCTTCTTTCTTCCTTCTTCCTCCTTCCTTCCTTCCTTCTTCTTCTTCTCTTTTAGTTGCCGTCAAAGTTACCCATTTACGTATCGGGACAGTATTGCTAGCGTATCGTGACCGCATCAATGGAGTATCGGAGCCGTAACATAAAGTCAACATCCTAGAAAAGTCTACGATATGCCACATGGCGTATCAGATACGTATCGATGCCGTATCGTATCGGCGCCGTATCGGATACGAGCATACCCCAAAAATCCGGCGTATCTGTGCAACATAGGAGCATGATACTATACATAATCTTCTTAATTTCAGAGATACATCTTTTCTTACTGTAATTAATACAACAACAAACATAAAATATACATACGTAATAATAAAAATCATAGATGAAGCAAAAGCAGTGATGGGTTTTAGGACTAGTTTGCCAGGTTGGGAGTTGTTGCTGTGGTTACAGTTTCCACTGTCCCTGGGCTTGAAGTTGACTCAATTTTCTTGTCATGGGCTTGTCGAGGACAAGACGAAGGCTTGCGCCCTTCGTGATCATGATGGTGATGATGATGACAACAACGTCTAGTAATAAAAGCTCCAGCCATGGCCCCCAACACAAACGTTACACCAGGTTTTAGAACACCCATTTGGCTCATCTTTTTTCTCGGATTTGTGTTGCTAGATGGTGATAGAATAGTATAGTGAGAAAGTTTTGAGATTGGAAGTGTGAGGAAAACGGAAGAGTTTGATGGGTTTTATATGGAGTATGGAGTGGTACTATGAGTGCTGGGCAAGGCTTTGGTTGGGTCATGGTTCACACATGGGATATGGCTATTGGCTAGACCCTTTTAGCCCCTTCTTCAAGGGTCAACAACTCAAAACAATTTGTATAATGGAAACCCGATAAGGGCCATAGTGGGCCAGCACAATACTCATTGACTGTTCTTCACGAAAACCGTGTCCCTTGGCGCATGCGGCCGCTCATTCAATTCCGTTATGCATTTGGAGTTCTTTCTGTGGCAGGGTCTAATTCCAGTAGGCCAGCACTCATTGACTGCGTTCTTCACGAAAACCGTGTGCCTTGGCGCATACGGCTGCTCATTCAAGTCCATTATGCATTTGCGTTCTTTCTGTGGCAAGGTCCAATTCCATCATAGGCCAGCACTCATTGACTCCGTTCTTCATTGGTACTGAACCATAGCACAATTACAAAAGACTTGCTAAATATCACCAGAGCTGAGCATTACAAAGGATTGGTTAAAAACCACAAGTGCAGCGCATTACAAAAGATTTACCAAAACAAACAAGTTCATAATTATAAAATTCTTGCCAAAACAAATAAGTTCACAATTACAAGGCAGTTGCATTATCAAACAGTTTCACTATTACAAGGTTACTGTCATGGCCTCTAAGGCTTTGCCTTCTTTGCATGTGATTTGGACTTTGGGGATTAAGAGATAACCATTGACTCATCCTGTGTTCCACTTGCAAACACAAAGGTCGCACTTGGTTGGCGGTTTGTCCCATCCACTTGTACAGTTGGAACTGAGCTTCTCCCACCCATTCCTATAGTTGGAGCAATGCCTCTCCCTCCCAGTCCTGCATTTGGAGTAGTGCCTCTCCCTTCCATTCCCGCGGTTGAAGTGCCTCTGTCTCTACATGCCTTATCCATATTCACCAACATCAAATAATACCAAGCATAAAACTATAAAGTAAAACCAAAATCAATACCAAACATGATAAAATAATATCAAGCAACATCAAATAATACCAAGCATAAAGGATTGGTTAAAAAATACCAAGCAACATCATACCCTTAGTTTTGCCCTTCTCATTGGATTGGAGTGAGGAGTTTGGCTAGCAACAGTTTGGGTTCTTGTAAGTTCGGTAGGTGCATCTTGCCTATTTGCAGCTTGCCTTGGCCTTTGTGAATTGCTAGCTTGCCCTTCTCCATTGTTTCAACCACAATTAGTTGCATTGTGCCCTTGGTCACATCTTCTGCAGTGTATTATGATATCATACCTTCTTAAATTTGTGGCACCTTTTGGAATATCCTTTGTCCCTCTTACCTTAGATTTACTTGGCCTTCCAACTTGCTTACACAGGAGGTTTGATGGGTGGATTGCCTGTTTTCACCCATAAGTCTTGAGTAGGCATGGGGAAAATGAAATTCCCATATGCTCTATCATATGCATCTCTAAAATAAGCAGGATTCACATATTGCATGAGACTCCTTTGTTTCCTTGAGATTGCAGCCAGTGCATGGCAACAAGGAAGACCACAGAGATCCGATTTCATGCATGAGCATGTATGCCTATTCAAATCCACAACATATTGGCCTCCCAACATGTGCATAACTTGATACTTTCGTCCTCCAGTATGCTGAGCAATGCATGACCCCACTCTCATTCAAGGTTTTTAACATTATCTTTACAATCCTTGGTTGAACCTTCTGAGTCCACTGCATTTCTCTTTGCCTTGCCATTCTCAACATTAAATAACTTCTTAATCTTTTTAGCATTGTCAATATTGATTTGTCCCTAGATTCTAAAATAGCAGAATTGAAACATTCACATAAATTATTGAGCAACATATCACACTTTGGCCAATTTTGAAATGTGATATGCTCCAATGACTTGCAGACCTATCTTCCAGCCATTTGTAAGCTTTTCTAGACAAATCCCTTATCTTCTCCATCTCTGCTTCCCACCATGAAACTGTAATGGCTCTTGCTGCAGCCCATAATCTCTATTTCAAAGCCAAACTACTGTGACCAGTTGTCTTGAAGTTTGCATGGAGATGCTTGACACAATATCTGTGCTCAGCAGTTGGCAGTTAGTCTTCTATTGCTCTTCCTAGACCTTTTTGCTTATCTGTAATGATTATCCACCCATTTCCATATGTGATACCTATATCTCTAAAGAATATTTCTAACAACCAAGTCCAACACTCTTTGTTCTCAATCTCCACCACACCAAATGCTATTGGGAACATGCCATTGTAATCCCACTATTGTCCTACAACTTTCTAAGAATCCTCTCCTACAAGCATCAAAACATACATACATCCTTTGAAAAACTGGATATGCACCTCTCAAAGTTGTGTTCATAAGGACTGTGCTACCTGTGTTTTGTCTCTTAATCTATTCACAATAGTCCCATAGCTTTGCATATTGTTCTTCAATTGACCCTTGAATATTCTCTTGAGCCATTTACTTTGCTTTATAAATATGATCCTTAGTAACATCAATGAAATAATGCTTCCTTACCAATGCCATTAAATCTCCCATTGAAATATTAAGATTTGTCTTAAGCTCATCATCAAATCTTGCAGCTAACCAACTAGAAGTGGCAAATCTGCTTATTTCCTCTTTCCCACATGTGTGCTCTCCTACAAAACTCTTCATTGTAACAGTTGGACCTTTCCCAACATGAGATGCATATAGTACTTAAGGATTGATTTTATGTTGCATTTAATTATGAGCCTACCAGGCTCATTATTCACAAAGTTCAGTAACCTGGCACAACTATTAACATAGTATCGAACAACTTCTTTGCACTCTGTCATGGTCGGGAATTCAAGCCCCAAATTAAATTTGGGAAACCTCAAGTCATGATATCTGTAATACTGCTTAAATCTAAGGGCTCTTCTTCTTTTGGTCTTCCATCTCACTATAGTATTTCCCTCATTCTCAAAATCATGAACACTTCTCAAATCATCAGTGTCATATTCATAAGTATTTGCCTCACCTGGTTCTTTCTCATGGTCTTCTTTATCTTCATTTACAACAAATCTATCATAAACCCTCTCATCTTCTTCATCACTTTGCTCAAACTCAGTTTCTCTATACACATAATCTTTTACATCAAGTTTTTCCTCATTTTCATTTTCATCTTCATCTTTTACTTGCACATCAACATATACAAACTCATCCACATTAACTGACTCACCATATCTGTTTATATCATCATCAAAACATCATCCGCAAAACCTTCACCAAACTGAGCATCTAAAAAACCTTCACCAAATTGAGCATCTACAAAACCTTCATCAAATTGATCATATACAAAACCTTCCCCAACTGGTCATTATTGACAAACTCATCATCACCCCCATAACCATCTAGATTTTCATCATCATCTGTTTCTAAATCCACATCTACAA